GAAAAGGGGTAAAACTTACCTTTTTCCAGCGCTGGGCGGAGAGCTCTCCTCCTCCGATCCTCCTCTTCTCCTCTCCGTCGGCTGAATGCGCACGCGCAGCAAGAGCTGCGCGCACATTCAGCCGGTCACATAGGAAAGCATTCATAATGTTTTCCTATGGACGCTGGCGTGCTCTCACTATGAAAATCACAGTGAGAAGCACGCAAGCGCCTCTAGCGGCTGTCAATGAGACAGCCGCTAGAGGAAATAGGGGAAGGCTTAACCCATTCATAAACATAGCAGTTTCTCTGAAACTGCTATGTTTTTGAAAAAATGGGTTAACCCTAGCTGGACCTAATACCCATACCACTTCATTAAGCTGAAGTGGTCTGGGTGCCTAGAGTGGTCCTTTAAGTGTGTGTGCATCTGCATGCACTGGCGTACATACCGCGGTCTCAGGGGTCGCAGCCCTGTAACCCCTGCGACCAGGTGCCCACCGCCATGTGTTGCGGCCCGGCCCGCGCGCGTGAGGGGGGCCCACGGATCAATTTTTCGCACCGGGGCCCCATGGGTCATGTGTACGCCACTGATATTAATATATGTATATATTAATATAAAAATACACTTAGTATGACATTATATATATATGATATATAGACATATTATATAGATATAATATATGTCTATATATCATATATAATTCTATTTATTTATTAACAAATAACATGTATTTTTTATTTTTTTTATGATTTAACACATGCAGGGAGACTGCCTGTCAGCACAGACAGTCCCCCTGCAGGCAGAGACATAGACACCTATTGTGACTGCTGTGTTGAGCGATCACATGGCCCCAGGGGTCCTAATCCGCCATGGAGAGACTGTCTGGGCTGCAGGCAGTCTCCCCACACTGGGAGCAATGCCGATCGCCGCCGGGGTCACCGGTCCTTAAGGGGTTAAAAAGACACTGTAGGCATTGTAACTGCTTCATCTTATTGATGTGGTTATGGTGTTTGGAGAACCCTGGCGCCAACTTTCTATTCAGTGTTAAACTGCTTTAAAGCTAAACTAGAGTCCCTGGCAGCTTGGAATAATGAGGAAGTATTAGCATGAGCAGCAATGGCTGCCTGTGATTGGCTGAGTGTGTCAGCTGACTGCATTCAACCTATCACAGCACCCATTACAGATAGAAAGTAGTACGTCTAGAAGGAAGTGTATAATCTCTGAGTTAGCCATACCTCTAGCCAGAGATAGGCTGTGGATGTCCAGAGATCCTTATTTACATTTACACTGCTCAAAAATGGTTTAATACTGAATGGAGGGACAGTGAGAGGGAACTCAAGGCACTATAACTAATTCAATTAGATAAATGGTTATAGTACATACATTGTCCCTTTATATATAAAAAATGATTCACTGACTTTACAGCATTGTTAAAATTGAATAGTCTGATTTTAGTCATTCAAAGGTAAATTATGTAATTGCTCAACATTGCTCATTAGGTTTCTGAATAGAATGATTATATATAATTAATTTATATTTACAGTATTCATAATATAGCAAGTTTACACACATGGGAATCTTGTTTACAAGATCATGGAGCTTAATAGTTTGAAAAACATGGAAACTAGCCTTACAATCCATGTGTTTGGAGATGTAAAAGGTAAAGCGCACTCATTACATCTATAACAGGAAGCATATTGATGTAAAATTTAATTGAGATGCAAAGAAATGTGGGTGGCAGAAGGGCCAAGGGAATCTGCACTAAAACTCCCATTATTAACTGGAAAAGCTATTACAGCACTAAGTGCCAAACTGTGAAACATCATAACAGTGTTTGGAAACCTTGCAAAATACATGCAATTTTATCCCATGTTAACTTAGCTGCACCTTCTGAGAAAAAAATAATAATTGCATTCTGATCTAATTGTTTCACATTCTCTCCCCCCTCACCCTCCCTTTTGGACAGAAATAGCACATCTTAGCATACAGAATGGATCAATAAATACAGTTCTGCAAAATTTTACAATATTTCCAATATATAAATAGTCTTTGGCAATAATGTAGTAACACATCCAGCAAGGGTAAACGGTTGGTGGTGAGCGTATGAAAGAACCAAGACTGATTTTTAGCATTTAAAATTATTGAGCAGTTGCATTGATATATATACAGTTGCAAGAAAAAGTACGTGAACCCTTTGGAATGATATGGATTTCTGCACAAATTGGTCATAAAATGTGATCTGATCATCATCTAAGTCACAACAATAGACAATCACAGTCTGCTTAAACTAATAACACACAAAGAATGAAATGTTGCCATGTTTTTATTGAACACACCATGTAAACATTCACAGTGCAGGTGGAAAAAGTATGTGAACCCCTAGACTAATGACATCTCCAAGAGCTAATTGCAGTGAGATGTCAGCCAACTGGAGTCCAATCAATGAGATGAGATTGAGGTGTTGGTTACAGCTGCCCTGCCCTATAAAAAACACACACCAGTTCTGGGTTTGCTTTTCACAAGAAGCATTGCCTGATGTGAATGATGCTTCGCACAAAAGAGCTCTCAGAAGACCTACGATTAAGAATTGTTGACTTGCATTAAACTGGAAAGGGTTATAAAAGTATCTCCAAAAGCCTTGCTGTTCATCAGTCCACGGTAAGACAAATTGTCTATAAATGGAGAAAGTTCAGCACTGCTGCTACTCTCCCTAGGAGTGGCCGTCCTGTAAAGATGACTGCAAGAGCACAGCGCAGACTGCTCAATGAGGTGAAGAAGAATCCTAGAGTGTCAGCTAAAGACTTACAAAAGTCACTGGCAAATGCCAACATCCCTGTTAGCGAATCTACAATACGTAAAACACTAAACAAGAATGAATTTCATGGGAGGATACCACAGAGGAAGCCACTGCTGTCCAAACAAAACATTGCTGCACGTTTACAGTTTGCACAAGAGCACCTGGATGTTCAACAGCAGTACTGGCAAAATATTCTGTGGACAGATGAAACCAAAGTTGAGTTGTTTGGAAGAAACACACAACACTATGTGTGGCGAAAAAAAGGCACAACACACCAACATCAAAACCTCATCCCAACTGTGAAGTATGGTGGTGGGGGCATCATGGTTTGGGGCTGCTTTGCTGTGTCAGGGCCTGGACGGATTGCTATCATCGAAGGAAAAATGAATTCCCAAGTTTATCAAGACATTTTGCAGGAGAACTTAAGGCCATCTGTCTACCAGCTGAAGCTCAACAGAAGATGGGTGTTGCAACAGGACAATGACCCAAAGCATAGAAGTAAATCAACAACAGAATGGCTTAAACAGAAGAAAATACGCCTTCTGAAGTGGCCCAGTCAGAGTCCTGACCTCAACCCGATTGAGATGCTGTGGCATGACCTCAAGAAAGCGATTCACACCAGACATCCCAAGAATATTGCTGAACTGAAACAGTTCTGTAAAGAGGAATGGTCAAGAATTACTCCTGACCGTTGTGCACGTCTGATCTGCAACTACAGGAAATGTTTGGTTGAAGTTATTGCTGCCAAAGGAAGTTCAACCAGTTATTAAATCCAAGGGTTCACATACTTTTTCCACCTGCACTGTGAATGTTTACATGGTGTGTTCAATAAAAACATGGCAACATTTCATTCTTTGTGTGTTATTAGTTTAAGCAGACTGTGATTGTCTATTGTTGTGACTTAGATGATGATCAGATCACATTTTATGACCAATTTGTGCAGAAATCCATATCATTCCAAAGGGTTCACATACTTTTTCTTGAAACTGTATATATCCATTCTGCCACTAGCAGACTATGTTGATTTGCAGAAAACAAGGAGAATCAGAAGTCTTTTATATTTCATGTTGTATTATCTTCAAAATGTGTACATAAATTCACTGTATTTTTTCTGTGCGATTTACAATACTCTGAAAAGTTCAGTTTAGTCTCACTTTGTACCATAACAAAACTATAACTTTACCTGTAATTAAAAATGCTTAAGAGATTAAAGAGTGGATATTACAAGCTATTGACAAGATTTAAAATGTGACATGTGACAGTTACAAAAACTTGGAGCCATATAGATGTTTTGTGACTTCAGTCTTTGTAGCTTTCTTTTACTATACATGTTTTCCAAGAGTGCTCATCAACATGAGCACAGATGAGCCAAATAACTAAAATGTAATCCCTGCTTTACTAATGAGCAAGCAATTTGCTAATATTAGAAATGCAATGCAGACATGTTTTTTTGTTTGGGCAAACATTCTGACATCATGGTAAGGATTCCCTTGCATTGTACTACAGCCAAACATGAGTCACATGCAAGTAATGATTATGATTTAAAGCAATTGTAGGGATAGGTGTACTAGGCATAATGCAGAGCAGTGAATCAAGTGTTGGATTAAATGTAATGAAGGAAGGATGTATTCACTGTATCAGTGATGTTCAGATTCTGCCTCTCTATACCCAATGACATATCATGGCGGCCAATAATTAATCTGGTTTGCAAAACTGTTCATGGTGGTCTCTTGTAACTGAAGGGACTCAGACCACTTCCATCAGAGGTATGGGGGGGAGGAACTGAGGGAGGTATGGGGGGGATACTGAGGGAGGATGGGGGAAACTGAGGAGGTATGGGGGAAACTGAGGGAGAAGGGGGAGGGGAGAGAGATGGGGGGAACTGAGGGAGGTATGGGGAGGAACTGAGGGAGAGATGGGGGAAACTGAGGGAGGTATGGGGGAGAAAACTGAGTGTGGGATGGGAGAAAAAAATGAGGGAGGGATGGGGGAAAGAAAACAGTGGGGGGGGAGAGAGGGGACGACATACACACAGCACCCCTGCCCTACACATATCACCCCACACAAACACACACACACCACCACCCCACACACACCACCCCACACACATCACCCCACCCACACACAAACACATACACTGTACCCCTCAATGCAGTGTGTGTATTTAGCAGTCTGTGTGTGTGTACACTCAGCAGTCTGTCTGTGTGTGTGTACTCGGCAGTCTGTGTGTGTGTGTGTGTGTGTGTGTGTATTTAGCAGTCTGTGTGTGTGTATTTAGCAGACTGTGTACTCATCAGTCTGTGTGTGTATTCAGCAGTCTGCTAAATACAGACAGACTGCTAAATACACATACAGACAGACTGCCGAGCACACACACAAACTGCTTAATACACACACAGAGATGTTAATTAGTTCGGACAACTGTATGAGTTGTTTTTTCTAAACTTAAACCTCAGTATTCAGGTTTAATTGCTGAAAGGTAACACTCATAAACAATGTGACACAATTGAAAGAATCAATATGTGCTTAAAAGCGGATGCCTCAAAATGGGCTGAATACACTTTTTCTGGATAAATACTGCTTGGCTCAACGCGTTTCGTCTCTTGACTTCTTCAGGAGCTTGCCCTGGTGGTGAAAATCTCGGACCATCCCTGTATTGGTGATTTTATCCAGATCTACACCTCGGACTGCTGCAACTGGAGATTCAGCCCATTTTGAGGCATCAGCTTTTAAGTACATATTGATTCTTTCAATTGTGTCACATTGTTTATGAGTGTTACCTTTCATTTGCTTTTATCATTTTTGTAATTAAAGTTTTGCACTATGATGCTCTCTTTTTTCTCTTCCCCTATATGAATTCTCATGCCCATCTGCTGGAGGGTAATTATTTCCACTTTTTTCTAGTGACAAGTGGCGCCCTATGTCTGTATCTTAACAGAGTTATTTTACAGTTTTTCTGTGCACTTAATTGCAGGGTTACCATGCCTCTAGTGGCTGTCCTTCGGAGGTGCTTCCGTAGCTATAACCAAGTTAAACTGGGCAATAGGTCAAATGACTATCATAGAGAGCATTTGCTTGGTGCACGCACTGGACTCTAAAAACTATGGGAAAGCATTGGATTGAGATCATCAATCTTGACAAAAAAACAAACAAACAAGAACAGGAGATTGGCACTAAACTCCATACTCTATCCCAACCAACATTATAGAATTTCACTTTCCCATTAATCCTTGCAAATATTTTATCTGAAAAGTATGGGTAAATGGCTTTTAACTCTTGTTCAATAGAAATTTGTCAGTGCAGAAAGGGCTGCAAACATTTTATGCCAGCAAATACTGCCACAGTCCAGCACTCAAAAATATTTACTCATTATGGCATATTCAGCATATGAAGTGAGCTAAGTGTACCAAAGAACCATGCAATACAAAAAAAAAACACAAAAAAATCATCCATGGCGTTCTAGCATTATAACAACTACAATAAGCTACAGTGTTTTTTCTGCTTTAAGGTTTACTTCTAGACTTTAGCCTTACCGACCTGCACCATTTTAGAACATATTTAAAGGGACACTATAGTTACCAGAACCACTACAGATTAATGTAGTGGTTCAGGTTTTGATAAATAGTCCCTGCAGTGTTGGCACTGTAAACACTGCCTTTTCAAAGAAAAAGGAGTGTTTACATTGCTACCTAGTAAAACCTCTAGGTGTAGTCATTCAGACGTCCACTAGAGGTGCCTCCTAGTCCAATGCTGCATCCGCATTTAGCGCCTCCACACTTTGCATGGAGATGCTGAACATTCGCCACAGAGATACATTCATTCAATACATCTCTATGAGCAAATGCTATTTGGCGCAGCACAGTGTTTTGGTGCACATGCGCAATAGCTTATACCAATACTTTCCTATGGGAATCTCAGCCATTGAGGTGAGGAAGAAAATCGGAGTTAAACCACCTTTTTACTGCATAGGGACAGGGACAGTCACCTACACAGCGACTTCAGCACTATAGTGTCAGGAATACATATCTCTATTTCTGACACTATAGTGTTGCTTTCATTTTATTTATTTTCCCTCAAATTTTATTTTGTGTCATTTATACAAACATTATAGAGTTAGAAATTACAAGGATGGCTGTTGCATTGGATGAATGCATATCTATGGACCATCACCAGTGTCATATACAGTCTTACAATGGTGGATTTAAATTTGATATAAACTTAACATTAAAGGGGAACTGTAACTTCTTAATTATCATGTACATATATACGTTTATGTGACATCAGAAAATATAAAATTAAATGTATGCACCCTGCTGTATTTACTGCGAATATGGAACTGTATGCCTATCTTATATCCCTTTAATGACAGATATGAACACCAACGATTTTATACTTTGGTGAATCCTTCATTTACTGTACATTCCAATGATGTGTACACTTAAAAGGTTTCCTTACACTGAAAGAGAGTCTGTTGCCAGGCTTACTATTATGACTATAATTACATTCTCATCCACTTTCATTAATCAACATGAAAATACAGATCAACGATAAGTACTCCATCTGCAGCTGGAAAGAATTCATCCATTAGAACAGACATCCATCTTGTTTCATTTTTTTTTATTCTAACAATAAATACAGCTTCAATATATTACACATGGTAGATGATCCGATTGTCTGATTGCTAGATGCTTTGGCGTACTAATGCCCTTGGGTTTTTAACAATAGGAAATTGGATTTAAAATAAATACATAAACACCTGCTCAATTACTAGCATTTAAATATTGTACAAAAGGGAAAGAAAAAGGAATTCTTGGGTGTCTACAGCAGATCTGGTGTGTGGGCAACATAATACATTCATTTTTATGGACTTAATATATAATCAACATAATTAAATTTCACATGAATTCATATTTGCACATAGATTGGGGTGGAGCTTTTCACGGTCACATGGTGACACTTGGTTTACCATCAGACTGTATTTAAAGGGCATGTTTACATGACCATCCTCAAGCTGTTATTTCAAGTCCCTAAGATGATTTCTCGTCAACGTGTTGTGATATCTTATAGAGTTGAAACTGTGTCAGCTGTACACTCTCAAACCATGAGCTGAGCTGTACACTCTCAAACCATGAGACTGAGCTGTGCACTGCGGGGCTTAGCTGTCAACAGTAGTGGAGTTAGGGTGGACCCCAGAGTAGATATCAAGCTATTCCAAAGCAGTTTGAGCAGTACAACTTGGGGGGTACTACTAGTAACTGAAATCTTGAACACTAATAGAAATACTGGTTGTCTACTTGTGGCTTTTTAAAACCTAAAGAATCGGTGATAATCTATACCTTTATAATAATATTTAAAGTTTACTCCAACCACCAAGAATACTTCTGCTTTTAGAAATGGCCATGGTGGTAGGAATCCGTATGTGCAGAGCAATTTGCAGTTTTGTGTCGGAGGTTAGATGCACCCACAGCACACATGACTTAGACAGCCCTGTTACAGGGCTTGGGAGTTCCAAGCAAACAGTATGTCTGTTATCAACGTGCCCTGCACGCTGGTGGCAGGTGTAATTGGCTTCTACCCATGCAGTCACAAAGTTCCCTTCCTCCATTTAGAACATTTTCATATATATATATACATACACATACACACACACACACACACACACACACACACACACTGCTCAAAAAAATAAAGGGAACACTTACCCCCTTAAGGACACAACTTCTGGAATAAAAGGGAATCATGATGGAATATTTCCATCATGTTTCCTTAAGGGGTTAAACAACACAATGTAATTCCAAGTCAATCACACTTCTGTGAAATCAAACTGTCCACTTAGGAAGCAACACTGAGTGACAATCAATTTCACATGCTGTTGTGCAAATGGGATAGACAACAGGTGGAAATTATAGGCAATTAGCAAGACACCCCCAATAAAGGAGTGGTTCTGCAGGTGGTGACCACAGTTCCTATGCTTCCTGGCTGATGCTTCCTGGCTGATGTTTTGGTCACTTTTGAATGCTGGCGGTGCTTTCACTCTAGTGGTAGCATGAGACGGAGTCTACAACCCACACCAGTGCAGATAAAAGAGAAATAAGGTTAAAAAGTTCAGAACAGGAGTGCTACTATCACCTATGTGAGTCACTTAATCACATAAACAAAACCATACAGTGAAAAAAAGTAGATGGTGAGAGCACTCTTAATTAAAATTGCACATTACCCTTATTGCACACTTTGGTATATCAATGCTTTAAACAATCCTGTAAATTCAAAACAGAGAAAACCGCAACATAGAGTAATAACGTAAAGAACTCTCAGTGTAACTTAATTAATAACTGGTTACACTCACATGGTTTTGAGCCACTTAATAAAAGCTGTCTCAGACTAGACGTATATCAGATGAATGCACGTGGTTATCAGACTCCAAGTTGTTTCCCCTCTGTGGTCCTTCAAACTGTTGTTAATTAAGAGTGCTCTCGCCATCTACCTTTTTTAACCCACCCAAGTGGCTTGGGTAGTGCAGCTCATCCAGGATGGCACATCAATGCGAGCTGTGGGAAGAAGGTTTGCTGTGTCTGTCAGCGTAGTGTCCAGAGCATGGAGGCGCTACCAAGAGACAAGCCAGTACATCAGGAGACGTGGAGGAGGCCGTAGGAGGGCAATAACCTAGCAGCAGGACCGCTACCTTCGCCTTTGTGCAAGGAGGAACAGGAGGAGCACTGCCAGAGCCCTCCAAAATGACCTCCAGTAGGCCACAAATGTGCATGCGTTTGCTCAAACGGTCAGAAACAGACTCCATGAGGGTGGTATGAGTGCCTGACATCCACAGGTGGGGGTTGTTTTTAAAGCCCAACACCATGCAGGATGTTTGGTATTTGCCAGAGAACACCAAGATTGGCAAATTCGCCACTGGCGCCCTGTGATCTTCACAGATGAAAGCAGGTTCACACTGAGCACATGTGACAGACGTGACAGAGTCTGGAGATGCCGTGGAGAACGTTCTGCTGCCTGCAACATCCTCCAGCATGACCGGTTTGGCAGTGGGTCAGTAATGGTGTGGGGTGGCATTTCTTTGGGGGGGCCGCACAGCCCTCCATGTGCTCGCCAGAGGTAGCCTGACTGCCATTAGGTACCGAGATGAGATCCTCAGACCCCTTGTGAGACCATATGCTGGTGCGGTTGGCCCTGGGTTCCTCCTAATGCAAGACAATGCTAGACCTCATGTGCCTGGAGTGTGTCAGCAGTTCCTGCAAGACGAAGGCATTGATGCTATGGAATGGCCCGCCCATTCCCCAGACCTGAATCCAATTGAGCACATCTGTGACATCATGTCTCGCTCCATCCACCAACATCACGTTGCACCACA